CGCATGGTTGGGCCTTTCGCCAGGATAATTTGTTTCTGGGCACCGCGCGCAGGAACAGCAACCCACAGCAGCATCATAATAATAAAAATAATAATAATAAGAATCAGCATCATCATCATCATCATCATCATCAGCATCATCATCGTCGTCGTCATCGCCATCATCATCATCACCATCATCATCATCATCATCATCATCATCAGCATCATCATCATCATCGTCATCATCGTCATCATCATCATCATCATCTTCATCATCTTCATCAGCACCATCACCATCGCCATCACCATCATCAGCATCGTCATCATCATCATCATCATCATCATCATCATCATCACCATCATAACCATCATCATCATCATCATCATCATCATCATCATCGTCATCAGCAATACCATCAGCATCATCACCATCCGCATCATCATTATCAGTATCACCATTACCATCACCATCACCAGTATCATCATCAGCATCATCATCAGCATCTACATCATCAATATCATCATCAGCATCACCACATGTATCATCATAGTCAAAATCATCATTACCATCACCATCGCCACTACCCCATCGCAGACCACCATCGCCATCATCATTACCATCTCATCATGATCATCGACCAAGCGGGAGCCTCGTCTGTGAGTGACTCGCGAGAAAATCTGAGGCGGTAGCCCATTCCTGTGAGGCCCGCATTTCATGTTAATAATCCGAACGGGTCATCCGGATCTTGTAATTGTCTTCATGCCTCGTCTGTGAGTGACGTGTGAGGAAGGTCCAGGCGGGAGCCCCCTCCCTGTGGGGCCCGCAGCTCATGTTATTGATCCTAGCGGGTCCCCGGAATCTTGTAATTATAATCATTTTTGACCTCTTCAAGCCTGAGGATGGAGGACGTATCAGGACGGAGCCTCGGCTGTGAGTGATTTGCGAGGTCGTTTCACGCGGGACCCCCCTCCCCATGGGACCCGCAGCTCCTGTTATTGATCCGAGCGGGTCATCGAAATCATCTACCAGAAATTGCATTTGAGCACCCCAGAGGGGCACATTGTGAGGATGTCTCGAGCGGGGGCCTCGCTGGGGAAGTCCTCAGGCGGGAGCCCCCGTCCTATGGGGCCTGCCCTTCATGTTCGAATCCGAACGGGCCATCGAAGGTATCTACTAGGAATAACATTGAAGCACACGAAGGGGGCAAATCGTGAGGATGTCTTGAGCGTGGGCCCCGTTTGCGAGTGAGTTGCGAGGAAGTCTCAGGCGGGTGCCCCCGTCCTGTGGTGCCTGCACTTCATGTTCGAGTTCGACCGCAGTCACCTACCATGCATAGCACTGGAGCACCCCCAGGGGGGCAAATCGTGAGGATGTCTCGAGCAGGGGCCGCTCTCGTGTGTGCATTGCGAGGATGTCTCAGGCGGGAGCGTCCTTCCTGTGGGGCCCGCGCTTCACGTTGGTAATCCGAGCGGGTCATCGGAACAATCTAACGGCCATCGGAGAAGGCGCCCCCTCTGGCGGTGGTGGCGAAGGTGCCGAGGAACATCCTCGTGCGTGCCCCAGCCAGGAAGAAGGAGAGGTGCATGACGAGAACAGGCGGGATGGAGGTGAGGAGAGGGAGAAAGAGGAAGAGGTGGAGGACGAGGAGGAGGAGGAGGAGGAGGAGAAGACATGGAACGAGGAGGACGAGAAGGAGGGGACGGTTGACGAGGAGGAGGAGGAGGCGCAACACAAGGCGGGATGAAGGCCTCCCTCTGCCAGGGGGAAGATGAAAAAGCGAGGCGCAAGCTAAATATATTCTCATGCCGTCGGAGTAATTTCCCGGGTCCGGCGATGACCCCATAACCGGGGTTATCGGGTTCGCCCGTCTTCCCCGATGGATAGCCTAATTTTGTTTGTTGTGCAGGTCCGGTGGTGGCACAGCGACCTCGCAGGGAGCGTTGTGTTCAACGGCGCGATGGTGAGCGCAACCGCATGCTGGTGTGTGGTGCACGTTGGTGAAACGTTAGGGCTTGGAGCGGCAGGGGGAGACGGCGACGGCAACGGCGGCGACGACGACGACAACGACCCCGAAGACGACGACGACTACGACGACGACGACGACGACGACGACCACGACCACGACGACGACGACGACCACGACGACGACGACGACGACTGACGTTGTCTATAGGCATCCGGAGGTAAACGTGAGCAGCGCGTACACAGGCACTTGCGTTGTCCATAGGCAGAGAGGCGATTTGGTGCACGAATTTGTTGCTGCTGCAGCAGGATCAGTTGTGTACGCAGGCGCCGTGGCGCACGTAAACATGATTCACGCAGGCAGCGCGGTACACTAGGGCATCTTGATGCACCCATGCACTATGGTGTAAACAGGCATTGTGGTGTGCACATCTGTTGCTGCAACAGCAGTTATGGTTCACGCAGGCATCCCACGCATGGTGGTGAGCAGAAGCACTGTGGTGCACGGCCAATGCGGTGTACCACACCTTGTGGTGTTCACAGGCGTTATGGTGTACGCATTCGTGGTTGCGCACACAGTCGCTAAGGTGTTATGGTGTACACTGGCGTTGTGGGCCCAGAAGACGTGACCGTTTCCTTCGCCAAGACAACAGGAATCACCAATAACATACAATTGGATTTGACACGTTCGGGTCCCCTACGATTTTCCAGACTGTGGTCCCGCCGGGGCCTTGAAAGTGTACGCAGTTCTGGGGTGTAAAGAAGCAATTTGGTGCACAGGAGCTTTGGTCCACACATCTGGTGCTGAAGCAACAACCGTAGTGCACATAAGCGTCGCAGTGTACACAGGTACCGTGGTGTACACAGGCGCTGTGGCACACACGGCCGCTGTAGTGTACACAGGCCTTGTGGTGCTCGCAAGTACAGCTGTGCAGACATGTGCTGCGTTGTACATAAGCAGCTGTAGTGTGCGAAAGCGTCGTGGTGTGCACTAGACAGGCATTGTGGTGTACACAGACATGGTCGGCTCCAAATGTGGGGGGACCGTACCCTGGGCCAGAAAAGTATAGAATCGCACATAACCTGTAGATTGAATTTGATACGTTCGGGCCCAGACGAGTTTCCAGATTTGGACTCCGCTGGGATCTTCCAGGTGCACGGAAGCGCTGTGGCGCAAATGTTCTCCATGAGTTGTGGTGCACGCGGCTTCTGCACTGTGTGCGCAAGCATCGGCGTGTACACAGGCGCTGTGGTGCACGCGGCTGTTGTAGTGTACCCAGGCTTTGTATTGTACACAATCACAGTTGTGTAGACAGACGCTGCGGTGTACACAACCAGCTATGTTATACAGAGAATCCGTGGTGTGGTGCACACTAGACACGCAATGTGGTGTACACAGACATGGTCGGCCCCAAACGTGGGGGGACCGTACCCTGTGCCAGCAAAATCAATAATCACAAATCGCCTGCATATTGAATTTCATACGTTCGTGCCCTCTGCGATGTTTCAAATTTGGGTTCCGCCGGGACCTTGAAGGTGTACGGAAGCGCTGTAGCGCAAGCTGTTCGCCATGCATTGAGGTGCACGCGGCTCTTGCGGTGCGCACAAGCATTAGAGTGCCCACTGGTGCAATCAGAGGCTGCTGCTGCGGCGGTCACCTGTGGTGTACAACAGCTTTGTGGCGCACGCATTCGCTGCCGTGTTCACAGGCATTGTAGTACACGTGTGCACGATAGCGTACACAAGATCCCGCGGCTGCTCTCAATCCCATCCCGCGTATCACAATGCTAGCTGCCCGGACATGTCACTAGGCATTCTCAGACGGCGCCCGCACCGTCGCAGCACCAATAGCAGCATCGTCGCAGCACCGTTCGCAGCTTAAGAGGCCGCAGCCCGGGTGCGCGCGGGCATATGCAGGGCTGCCCACGGAGCGAAGGTTCGGGTATCGACCAGCCCCTCCCCCCCCCCAGGATAACCCAGGTTATCGCCGATTGGAGAAAAAGCAGTCTCCACCTGGCTTGGTCTGCCGCAGGCCATCGCTTATCGTCGCCTTATCGGGTCCTGCACCGCCTGGTTTTGTTTGACCCCGAGCCGGCATTGCGCGCATTTGGGCAGGATCGTTTTACCACGCCGCTTCACAATGACATGTATGATGTGCAAGTGCGTCTCTGTATTGTCCGCCGACTGGACCCGTCGGCGCGCCGAAAGAAAAATTGTGTGCGTGTCCCTGCGTGTGTGTCACGTCGCCTCCACGCCGCGGACTCCACGCCCACCCGGCTTGGCCTGCCTTTCGCGCTCCTTTTTTCCGCTGCTTGTTCCACTCGCCTACCCAGGTCGTTCTCCGACTCTTTCATTCTGCCTGGCACCGCCTTGGTTTCGGCCCTGGGTCTCCATTCGGGCATCTTGGAGTATCGTGCGGCCACGTTGCTTCAAAAGGATGTCAGCTCTTTGCACGTTGCATTGCCAGCCGATTGGAATGTTTGGCGCGTCGGGGGAAACATGCTTACCACGTGAGGGTAATTTCCGTTGTCAGCGACTCCACACCCGAATAACCATTGGTTGTATCTCGCTAGCGCATCAGGGGAAACATATGTGTGCACATGTGTGTGCGTGTCACGACGTGAGGACAAGTATGTGCGCATGTGTGTGTGTGTTTCACGACGTGCCTCGTGTTCGCCCTCCGCTTTCACGCCCTGCATTGCTTTGAATGATCTACACGCCCGACTGCACGCGACTGCCGCCAGCCAGTCCATCCATCTGCTCACGCCGGGCAGAGCTTCGCCTACTAGTAAGAATGCCCCGGCCTAGCGTATTGCGACGGCGTCGCCATCTCGCCGTTGGAGAAGTATGTCACGACGTCGGAAGCCGTTGGCCCCCCCCGACGACGACGACGACGACGACGATGACGACCTCCCCAACAAGTCACGTCCGAGCACGACGACTCTGACGGTGACAGCGACGACGACGACGACGACGACGTCGTGGACGACCACGGCGACGGCGACGACGACGGCCGACGCGACGAACGGCGACGACGTCGTCGTCGGCGGCTGCAGGCTGCTGGCGCTCGCGTCCCTGTCGCTGGGCGCCCTGGCGGCCTGCTGCGGCTCCGCGGCGCCCCGCCGCTAACCGCCGCGCCGCGCTTTTTCGCCCCTCCGTGAGGGGGGGAGACGGCGACCGATGCCATCGCGCCGATCCTGGCTGGGCCAATTGTGGATCTACGTGGTGCCACATTTTCAGAGCCCCGAATCATCAGGGGTAACTCGGGTCAGGGCTAACTCGGGTTCGCTTTTCGGGATTCCGAACCCGAGTTACCCCGGGCCCGAGTTACCCCGGGTAACTCGGGCGTCCACCCCGGATAACTCGGGCGCCCAACATTTGTTGTGGAGCATATGTTGTGCAGATCTTTGTTGTGCAGTCTACGTGGTGCAGTCCATGTGGTCCACCACGTGTGGTGTGCGAGACATGTTGCGGAAACTCTGAGGTGCAATCTGCTTGGGGCAATATATATATATATATATATATATATATATATATATATGTATAGTCGTAGACGTGAATACCCCAACAGGCCCCTCCTCGCCCGAGCTTGTAAATGCTGACCCCCCGCAACTGCGGTGGCTCAAAGTCTGAGAGGCCCCCAGCCGCGGCGGCCCCTGCATGGACGGTGGGGCGCCTCCGCTGTGGGCGACACTGCTCACGGCGTGGGGGGCGACCTGGAGCGCCTGCTGGAGCTGGGGCTGGGGCGGAGTCACCACCCAGGCGGCTCACGCGGCGCCGTTCGCGACCTCTGGCCACTGCCAGGAGGACTCTGAGCGCTGCTCCTGCGACTGGGAGCTGCGCAAGATCATCGACCTCCAGCAGGAGGTCGGCCTCCTCCAGTCGGAGGTGTGGGCGCTGCGGTGCCTGCTGCTGGCCGGGTTTCTGCTGCTCGGCGCTGTGGCCTCTGGTGCTGGCACGCTGGGTTTCCTGGTGGGGGCCTGCCGGCGCTGCCGCTGCGGCGGGCGCGAGCGCGCGCCGGGCCGGGCGGCCGAGCCCGGCGCCCAACCGGCCGCGGCCTCGAGGGCGGCGGCGGTAGAGGGGCCGGCGTGCCCTCAGCCGGGCCGAGGGCCCTCGACGCCGAGCCGCCGGCAGCTGTAGCCCGATGGCAGACGTGCTGACGCTGGACATCGGCGACCCGCAGATCCTGGTCCACTACCCGGACGACGAGAACGGCTTCCTCTGGCACCACAGAGTCTTGCTCTTCAGGGTGTCGGACGACATCTGGATCAGCTTGACCCCTGATCTCGCCCTGGTGCGCTTGAAGCTCCTGGACATCCGGCACGAGGTGCTGGAGAGGCGAGCCCCGTTCCCTGCCCACCTGGGCAACCAGGTCTATGCCCACGACCCCATCGCCGCCGCCGCCCTGGCGGGCTTCCGCCGCCGTGCGAAGATCCAGGGGCAGCTGCTGGGTGTGGGCCAGGTGGACGTGGTCGAGAGGATGATCTGGGTGGTGGCCGAGCCCCGGTCGGCGAAGTTCGGCGAGGTGATCGACTCGGCCATCATGGACGACGACGCCCGCGGCACAGGCTTCGACACGAAGGGGGTGGCGGTCGTGGACGGGGAGGAGATCTTCGTGCAGAAGATCGCGGCCAGCAAGCTCGACGACTTCAAGAAGGAGACCAAGGCGGACCTCGGAGACGTGCGCACGCTCGGGGACCACCTCGACGATGCTGGGCAACGCTGCCTGAGGCTCTCGGAGGCGGTCGCCCTGATGAGAGACACGGATCAGCCGAACTTCCCGCTCGCCGGCGTGAGGAGCGTGAAGGAGTTCCTCGAGTCGGTGGCCTCCGGGCCTGGCAACATGACGTCGTACCAGGCGGAGTGGGAGCGGCTCAGCGGAGTCGGTGAGGGTTCGGCAGTCAACCACGTGCACCGCAACTTGTGCGAGGTGATTCGGCTCATGCACTCCTGGGACCAGGTCGACGCCTCCATGCTGGCCTCTGCGGAGCTGATCGTGCGCTGGCTGGTTCAAACGGAGATAGCGGTAGAGCGCAACCCGCGCCACCCTGACTACAGCGGGCTGGACATAGTGATCTCGGCCCCGGTGAATGCAGCGGGCCGCGCGACGACGAACAAGTTCAACTCCTGGGCCACTGACAAGCTCAAGGAGAGGGCGCAGATCTGGATCAAGGAGAGGGCGCAGATCTGGAAGCAGGAGCGCCTGTACCGCGAGGAGCAGAAGACGAACCTGAAGGAGGGCAAGGGCGGCGATGGCTACGACCCGTCCAAGAAGAAGCTGAAGAAGAGAGGGGGCAAGGCCGGCGCCGAGGGCGCCGGCGAGGGAGGATGACGCCTCTCGGGGCTGTGGGGGAGCCGGTGCTGGCAGCCCGGGCGCCGAGAGAGCCCCCCCACAGCCGACACAGACGTGGGCTAGCCCCCTCTATTCCTGGAGGGATCCGGTCACGAGATCGACGGCACGGAGACCCTTTTCCTCTGCCCTGCGATCCGAGTGGCCTCGGCTCTGCATGCAGCTCTGCGCGGCAACGGCAAGTTTTTGACACGGTTCGGGCCCTGAACCAGCTTGCCGCCGCCAACGTGAATTCACGTCGCGCCCAGGGGCACGACCGCGCACCAGAAGGGCACCTCCGGCCGGCCGCCGTGCAGCAGTGGATGATCCAGAATGTCGCCCGGCGTGTACTGGCGCATGGGGATTGCCCCACTGACCTCACAGAGGAGTCATCGTTGCACGAGATCCTCGACTCGAGACCACTACGGGATGGAGCCCAAGAACCTGGCCAGCTTCGACTTCGACAAGGTCAAGATCCTGCACAGGAAGGTCCACGTTCGGCCGATGCGCCGGGAGTTGCCCGCGTCGGCCGCTGGCTACCTTCGGCACGCTTCCGACTTGATCGAGGTGGACGAAGCGGAGCTTGAGAGAGATCGTGCCGAGGGAGTGGGTGTCACGCCATACTGGGACCCTCTCCTCCGGCGCTCGCGAGACCTTCGGAAGCGACTGTACCAGCGCCTGGACCAGCAGGGCCTGCTGACTTGGCGTCGGCGGCTGAAGGGGCATGCGGGCATCTTCGTGGTCAAGAAAAAGGATGGGCTCCAGAGGTTGATCATCGACGCCCGAGCGGCCAATCGGGCGCATCGGCCACCTCCCACTACTCGGCTAGGCTCCTCGCGATGCATGGCCGACCTCGACCTCTCCGACCCCCGCCTGAAGGCATCGGGCTTCGGGGGCCTCGGCTCCGGGGCCTTCAGCCCAGCTGGCCGCGAGGGAGACGTCGGGGACTGTTTCTACAACTTCACCATCCCCGAGCTGGCGAGCTGGTTCGGCTTCGCAGACCAGTTCGACACCCACGAGCTGACGGAGATGGGCTGCCTGCCGGACTCGATCTGGGACGACGCCGAGGGGGCCGAGACCAAGGTCGTGGACGGCGAGCAGCTCTACCCCTGCATGTGCGCGGTGTGCATGGGCTGGTCTTGGGCGCTCTACTTCGCCAACGAGGCCGTGACCTACCGCGTCCAGCGGGCGCTGCCCGACGGGGCCGAGAAGGTGATGAGGGAGATGCAGCCTGCCCCGACCATCGAGCCCGGCAAGTGCGTTGCCGGAGTGCACGTTGACAACGTGCAGGTGATCGGAGGCTGCGAGGCTGACGCCAACACTCAGATGCATGAAATCGAGAATCTTTTTCGAGAGGACCGTATACCTTTCGACGTGGAGCCGGGGGACAGTTTGGAGATGCAGTCCCTCGGCCTGGTGTACCACTGGCAGGAGCGTCGCCTGAGGCATGTGGCTCGGCGCGTCTGGCGGACCTACATGGCCGGACACGCCCTTTTGAGACGCCGCAAGCTCCACGGGCACGCGCTCCAGTGCTGGCTGGGGCACGTCGTGAACCTGAACCAGCTCTGCCCCGAGGCGATGTCCGCGCTGAACGCCTGCTACCGCTTCATCGAGGAGTCGCTGGAGTCGCCCAAGCGGGTCTGGCCCTCTGCGAAGTCCGAGATCCGCTGCTCGATGAACTTGCTCTTCCTGATGGAGGCGGACCTGGGCGCGACCTACTCGGACCAGGTGTACTGCGGGGACTCGTCCGGCCGCGGCTACGCACTCCACGTGACGACCGCCGAGCCGACCGAGCTCCGAGAAGCCTGGAGGTGGAGAGAACGCTGGCGGTACCGCGACGTCCCGACAGTGACGGGCCACGTCAGCAACGGGCTCGACTACGTGCGCGGCGGCACGCCCGGCACCGCCACTGGCCCGAGGACCGCCTTCGGCCAGTCCCTGCTGAGTCAGGCGGAGGTGCCAGAGGATGCGAGCGGCCTGGCTCCCTCTCCGGCCCGAAGCCGCGCTGCGAAGCCGGCTCGTGGCCGCACCCAGCTGCATCTTGACTCGGGCATCCCCGCCTTGGAGGACAGCTGGGTGGCCAGGCGCCGCTGCAAGCTGGTCGCCGCGGACCGCTGGCGCTGGCAGGACGAGCACATCAACCTCAAGGAGGCGAGGGTCGCCTTGATGGGGCTCCGACGGCACTGCCGATCGGTGAAGTTCATGGGCACAAAGCTGCTCTCGATCAGCGACAGCCAGGTCACAGTCGGGGCCTTCGAGAAGGGCCGCTCCAGCGCGGGCCTGCAGGCCCTCTGCAGGCGCGCAGCCGCCTACCGCCTGGGCGGGCAGATCTCCTGGCGGCTCAGGTACATCGAGACTGACCGAAACCCGAGCGGCGAGGACTCCCGGCGCTGGGACCTGAAGAAGCCTGCTGGGCTGAACCGGGGGCCCGAGCGTCGAGACGCCGCCCCGAGCCTGTCCGCTCCGGCTGCGAGTTACACGACCTCCTCCTCTTCTCGGTCACCTCCGTCGGCATCCTCAGCATCTGTTGTACGCCCGTCAATTCAGAGCGAGCCTGGTAAATCAGATTTTTTGTATGGAGCTCTTCGGTGGAAAGGGTGAGCTGACTCGAGCTTGCCTGGCGGAGGGGCTTCCCTTCGCGGATTCAGTTGATATCAGAGACGGCTGGGAATTTGATCTTTCTCGTCGCAGTACACAAGAGTATATCCTGAGGCTGGCCCGAGAAGGGCGTTTGATATATGTGCACCTGGGAACGCCTTGTCAGGTTTGGAGTATCGCTCGGAGGGGGATCCGAAACCACGTTCGAGCCAGGGCCCGGGAACGTCTGGGCATCGAGTTCGCACTGTTTACGGCTACGTTGTGTCATATCCTATCACGTCGTGGGTGTTATTGGAGTGTGGAAAACCCCCGGACTTCGAGACTCTGGAACTTCGACCCGATCGCTCGCCTTCATGGACTCGCGGACGTCGTCGAGGTAAACTTCGATATGAGCATGTATGGCACGGCCTATCGGAAACCTACTCGAATCCTGACAAACCTGAGAGCGTTACAGTCCCTGGGAGATCGACTTCGCATTCGACATAAACACTCGGTCTTGCTACACGGTCATCTCACACCACTTGCCGCCGCCTACCCGCCAGCATTGGGCTCGTGTTGGGCCAGGCTCCTTTCTTCGGCCCTGCCGGGCGACATACGCCCGGGCCAGCGAGCCTTCGACCCCAGCGAGGTCCGCCATGGCCTCCAGCGGGCCGCGGGCCGTCGCCCGGCGGCTCGAGGAGCAGCGGTTCACGGTGAGGTCGATGAACCCCGTGAGCCAGCCTGCCAGGCCGCCGACTCGTTCCTCGAGCACGACCCGATCATCCAGTTCGGCCAGGACGAGCGGCCCCGGCGCTGGAGGGCCCACCCGGACTGGGCGGCAGCCGCCACCGGGGAAGGGCCGACCGCGGCAGCCTACAGGCCCCCGGCGGGCAGGCCCCATCACCGTCCCGCGGAAGGACTCGCTGATCATGGCGACGGTGACCGGAGGCACGCTGGAGAGGTACGCGACGGCGGTCCACGAGTTCGAGACCTACGCGAAGGAGAAGCGCCTGCCGCTGCAGCCGCTGGCACGCCTGGACGACAGCCTCTCCCTCTACTTCGTGGACCTGTTCGACGACGGCTTCGGGGTCTGGGAGGGGCGCAACGCCTTCTACGGGTACAAGCTGCTGAAGCTCAGGACGACGGGCAAGGTCGACCTCCCAAAGGCGCTGGCCTCCCTGAAGGGTTGGACGAAGCGGGCGCCCGGGAGGATGCGTCTGCCGCTGCCCGACATCATCGTGGACGACATCGCGCTGGACCTGGTGGAGCACGGGAACCCCCTGATGGGGGCCGCGGTGGTGATCCAGACAGACACCTACACGCGGCCCTCCGAGGTGGTGGGGCTGAGGCAGGGCCAGATCTTGCCGCCGGCGCCGGTCGCGAAGCTCGGCGCGCACTATGGCATCGTCATCGCGCCCTCGGAGTGGCACGAGACCACGAAGACGGGCGGCCAGGACGACAGCCTGCTCGTGGGCGACGTGGCGAGGCCCTGGCTCACGAGCGTGCTGCGGCTGCTCCACAAGCCCAACGTGTCGGACAAGAAGAAGATCTTCGACTTCACCCTCGGCGACTACGAGCGCGAGGTGAAGAAGTCGGCCTGCCGCCTGGGCTACACCGCCCTGGGCGTTTGCCCGCGCGTCTTCCGGCACTCGGGCGCCAGCAACGACAAGGCGCACTCCCGGAGGACGTTGAAAGAGGTTCAGAAGCGCGGACGATGGGCATCCTCCGCGTCGGTGGCTCGCTACGAGAAGGGGGCCCTGATCTTGCAGCAGTTGCGCAAGGTTCCCTTGGCCAAGCAGAGGAGGGCGGCTGAGCGCAGCAAGCGCCTGCCGCACGTCCTCCTTCAAAAGATTCGTGAAATGTAGCGGCCACCAGTTCATGATACGGGTATGGGCGAAAGAGGGGCCGTCCAAGATGACAGCCCGACGATGTTCGACAATTTATCTCGTCTCAGGCCTGAGCTTCGATTGGATTACCTTGTCAGAGAGTGCGTGTGAAAGGTGATCCAAAATATATCGCACAGCTTCGCTGGATATGCATGTCTGGGCGAGGTTTTTAGGCCATCTAGGGGTGTGTATAGTCGTAGACGTGAGTACCCCAACAGGCCCCTCCTCGCCCGAGCTTGTACATGCTGACCCCCCGCAACTGCGGTGGCTCAAAGTCTGCCCGCCCTCAGCCACCCTCGAGCTCAGCACGCCTCGCTCGTAATTCAATGCTTTTTCCGCTGGGCGAAAGAGGGGCCGTCCAAGATGACAGCCCGACGATGTTCGACAATTTATCTCGTCTCAGGCCTGAGCTTCGATTGGATTACCTTGTCAGAGAGTGCGTGTGAAAGGTGATCCAAAATATATCGCACAGCTTCGCTGGATATGCATGTCTGGGCGAGGTTTTTAGGCCATCTAGGGGTGTATATATATATATATATATATATATATATATATATGCGGCGCCATCTGCGCGGTGCAATCTTTATGGTGCGATCGTCGTGGTGCATTCGGTGTGGTGCAAACCACGTTGTGCAATTTATTTTGTATTGTCCATGTAGTGCAATCGGCATGGTGCAATCGACGCGGCGCAGCCTATGTTGAGCAGTTCACCCTGCCGAACTTGAAGTTGTCAATGCCACTGCTCCCGCAAGCATCCCACCCACCCACCCGCAATTACGTTTGCAAAAAATTATGCGGCGGCGATTGCGATGTCTGCTATTCGCTGGCTGGCGCATCGCTTCGGCCGCGCTAGCGCGCGCAGGCTCGCGCGCAGAGCGGCCATGTAGTCTGGCGCGACCGACGCGGCCGCAGTGGCGCTGACCCTCGGGATATCCCAGCATTTTTCGCAGGCCGCGCTGAAGCGCGGGCACTTCCGTGCGAGTCGGTGATTCGGAGGGCGCAATAGCATGGCGATGTCGACAACGGCATACGCGATGATGAGTATAGCGGCGTTGGTGACGACCATGACGATGACGGCAAGGCCAATGACGTCGCCGATGCTGACCACGCCTCTGACTATGATGGCGCCCGCGCGTCGGTGATGAACGTATCAGTGGGATTTCGACATGCGCGCGGGGCCGGCGGGCGCGAGTTGCACGCATGGTGTCATCGAAGGCGCTTTGGGCGAATCACCGCCGCCCCCTGCCTTTTGGAATCGCCCATGTGGCCGAGCGTTGTGGCAAGAGCCCTGCCACGCTATCGGACCCCGTGTTCTCCCAGATGGTGTGGGAACCCTTCGTGGAACACTATGGGGAGGATGGCGGGGAAGACCAGGAGGAGGGGGGGGGAGGAGGAGGAGGAGGAGGAGGAGGAGGAGGAGGAGGAGGAGGAGGAGGAGGAGGAGGAGGAGGAGGAGGAGGAGGAGGAGGGCATCTTGGGAGCCTCTTGGGGCACTCTTGGGGCCTCCTGGGGGCTTTCTGGAAGCCTCTTGGGTGTTTCCTTGGCCCGCCCGGCGCCGTCTGAAACTGACTTGGGGGCGTCTCTGGACCGACTTGGGGCCTTCCTGGGGTACTCCAGGGCCGTTTTGGAAGCCATCTTCTGTGTCTTGAAGGCCTCTTGGGCCGCTTGGGGCCCTCTTGAGGCCGTCGTGCGGGCCTCTGGGGCCGTTTTAGTGCCATCCTGGAGGCCTCTTGGGCGATCTTGGGGCGATGTTTGGGGGTTGTTGGGTCGACTCGGGCCGTCGGAAGGCCGAACAGAAGCACATGCCAAAATCCTTCAAACACCATGGGAACATCATTGATTTGTGCCTTTGGTGGCCTTCCTGGAGGTCCTCTTGGAGGCCTCTGGGGCCGTCTTGGAAACTTCTTCGTTGACTCTTGGGTCATCTTGGCCCATCTTGGAGCTATCTTGGGCCGTCTCCGTCTTGGTGGGCTCATGGCCCTCACGCAGTTGGAAGCCGTGTTGTGGGCCTCTGGGCCGACTTGGGGCTCCCTTGGGGTGCTCCAGGGCTGCCTTGGAGGCCATCTTAGGCCGTTCTGGGGCCATCCTGGGGGCCTCTTGGGTGATTTTGGAGCGATTTTTGGGTGCTCTTGGGCCGAATCGGGCCGTCGAAAGGCCGAAAAGCAGCCAATGCCAACATCATGCAACCACCCGGGGCAAATCAATGTTTTTGGCATCTGGGGGCTTTCCTGGGGGTCCTCTTGGAGGCCTCTGGGGTTGTCTGGGGGACCTCTTCGGGGCCTCTTGGGCCGTCTCGGGCCATCTTGGAGTCATCTTGGACCGTCTTGGGGGCCTCGCTGGGCCGACTTTGGACCGTCGTGGAGGCCATCTTGGGCGTCTTGGAAGCCTCTTGTGCCGTCTCGGTGCCCTCTTGGGGCCGTCATGGGGGCCTCTGGGGCCGTTGTGGGGCCATCCTGGAGGCCTCTTGGGCGATCTTGTGCCGATCTTTGGGGGCTGTTGGGCTGTTTCGCGCAGTCGGAAGGCCGAACATAAGCAAATGCCAACATCCCCCACCCTAGGAGAATTTGTGATTTTGGCCTCTTCGGGCCTTCCTGGGGGCCCTCTTGGTGGCTTCTTGGGCCGTCTTGGAGGCCTCATGGGGGCTGCTTGGGCTGTCTGCCGTCTGCTCGAGGCCGTCTTGGAGGCTTCTTGGGCGAACTTGGAAGCATCTTGGATTTTTTGTTGGGCCGTCATCGAGGCCATCTTGGACCATCTTGGGCGAATTCGGAGGCCATCTTGGCTGTCTTGGAGGCCATTTTGGAGCCATTCGGACCAGGAACATGTTGGCAACCAGGTTTTCGGCGTGGCTGGCGGGACGGGCGGAAGACCCACTCTTTTGGAGAAAGGGCCAACACCAAACCGTATATGGTTCAGCACGCTGGGCACCCTTGTGACAAGACCACAAGGGGGCGGCGGATCGAATGGCCTTCGGCCCATCCCGCCACCGTGCTTGGCATGTGGGTCAGAGTTCTCAGGGGGGTGGCCAGGGCGAGGTGGGTGCGCGGTGGGGGGTATCTGTGAATTTCTTGCCAGAAATTTTCGAATAACGGTCCCAAGAAGAGGGCTCCTGGAACGGGGGGTGCCGGGGCGAGGTGGGGTGCGCGGTGGCAGGTATCGGTGAATTTCAGGCAAGAAAGTGTCGGGTGTGGGGTCCCAGGAACAGAGCTCCTGGAGTTGGGGGTGCCAGGGCGAGGTGGGGGGCTCGGTGGAGGGTATCGGTGGGTTTCAGGCGAGGAAATGTTAGGTGGGGCTCCCAAAATCAGAGTTCTTGGAGCTGGGGGTGCCGGGGCGAGGTGGGGAGCGCGGTGGGTGCCAGATAATGCCACATGGCGGGTCCCACGAAAAGGGCTCTTGGAGCTGGGGGTGCCTGGGCGAGGTGGCGGATGCGGTGGGGGTCATCGGTGGTTTTCAAGCAAGAAATTGTCCGGTGGAGGGTCCCAAGAACAGAGTTCCTGGATCTGGGGGTGCCGGGGCGAGAAGGGGTGCGCGGTGGGGGGAAAAATCGGGAAATGGCGAGTAGGGGGTCCTGGGAAGAGACGTTTCGAGCTAGAGGTTCCAGGGAGAGGTGGGGGGCGCAGTGGAGGGTATCGGTGGGTTCCAGGTGACAACATGTCAGGTGGGGGTCCCAAGAACAGAGCTCCTGGAGCTGGGGGCGCCAGGGCGAGGTGGGGGGCGCGGTGGAGGGTGGCATCGGTGAAATTCAAGCAAGGAAATGTCGAGTGGGGGGTCCGAAGAGCAGAGGTCCTGGAGCTGGGGGTGCCGGGGCAACGTAGGGGGCGCGGGGCATCTGAGCGCTCCGAGCCAAAATATGCAGGGTGGTAGGTCCGAAGAGCAAAGGTCCTGGAGTTTGGGTGCAGGGGCGAGGTGGGGGGGGCGCGGTGGGGGGCATAGGTCAATTCCAGGTCCGAGAATGGCGAGTGGGGGTCCCAACAAGAGACGTCCTAGAGCAGGTGCTGGGGCGAGGTGGGGGGGCGCAGTGGGGGGTATCGGTGAGTTTCAGGCCAATTAATGTCAACTTGGGGGTCCCAAGAAGGGAGCTCGTGGAGCTGGGGGTGCCGGGGCAAGGTAGGGTGCGCGGTGGCATGTGTCGGTGAGGTTCCTTCAAGAAAATGTGGGGAAGGGGGGTCCCAGGAACAGAGCTCCTGGAGCCGGGGTTGCCGGGGCGCGGCGGGGGCGCGGTGAGGGACATCGGTAGGTTTCAGGCAAGAATATGTCGGGTGGGTGGGGGCCAGAAACAAAGTCCCTGGAGTTGGGGGTGCCAGGGCGAGGTGGGGGGCGCGGCGGGGGACATCGGTGGGCTTCAGGCCAGATAACGTCACATGGGTGGCCCCACGAACAGAGCTCTTGGAGCTGGGGGTGCCCGGGCGAGGTGACGGGCGCGGCGGGGGGCACCGGTGGGCTTCAGGTGAGAACATGTCGGGTGGGGGGCCCGAGAACCAAATTCCGAAAGCTTGGGGCGCCATGGCGAGGTGGGGGGCGCGGTGGGTGGCATCTGTGGGTTCAAGTCAGAAAATATCGGGTGGGGTGGCCCAGCCCCTTAGAGCTGGGGGTGCCGAGGCGAGGTGGTGGGCGCGGTGGGGGGTATCGGTGGGTGTCAGGCCAGAAAATGCTGGGTGGGGAACAGAGCGCGTGGAGCCGGGGGTGTCGGGGCGAGGTGGTGGGCGCGGTGGAGTGCACTGGGGTATCGGTGGGTTCCAGGCGAGAAACAGAACGCGTGGAGCGGTGAAGCTGAGGGTGCGGTGGCGAGGTGGCGGGGGCGGTGGAGGGTATCGGTTGGTTTCAAACCAAACAATGTCGAGCGGGGGGTCCCAAGAACAGAGCTTTTGGAGCTGGGGGCGCCGGGGCGAAGTGAGGGGCGTCGGCGGAGTCAGGCCAG